GGGAGAGAGAGGGAGAGAAAGAAGGAGATCAAGACCAGATCTACTATTGGGTAAATCAAATCAGGATAAGCTGAAATCAAAGGAGATACTCCATTTCAGAAAGCAGTTTATGCCTATAGATGTWAATGCTTTCTAAACTTTTTTGTCCAACAGCTCAATCTAAACACGTTGTGTGTTTCCAACACTGTCCAGGTTTGGATGATTAAAAGGAGACATAACTCCTGGTCTAGCTGTTTATTTCACTGCTGGTCTTTTTATTTTTAAGTCTCAGTTTGAATGATGCTGATAAAGCAGCCAAAGGGGAATTTTCTGCAGTAATCGTGAACTACAATCATGAGGAAGAGGAATTAAAAAGAGAAAGATTACAAGAGGGAAAATAGAAAGTCAACAGAAATACCTTTGTTTCTCAGTTATCAATGAAAATAAATCAGTCAAACTATGTAACAGTAAATGTGGTGATTACCCAGCCAGCTGGAAGCATTTGCATTTTGCTGCTTTTTCTTAAGCTGAGATGACCTGCCACAGGTGAGGGTGTAGGCATCTTGTGTTCCTAACAGACAGACAGACAGTAAAGACACAGGCACAGTGCACACACTGAGGCCTCCTGTAGCATAAAAGACATTTTAAATTTGTTGATTGGCATCATCATACAATGCTGTTCCACATTAGAACTTGTATCTCCCTGAGCCATTTAAAAGATTCAGGAAGAAAAACAGCATCTGTCCTATACGCACCGGCCAAGTCTGCATGCCGTGTCCCGTGGGATGGAGRGGCCATGGGGGCAAAATCTCAGACCCCACGCAGGGCTGGAATGCCTTTGCCCCATTCAGCAGTGGCTCTCAGGGCTAATTAAGGAATGGCCCAGGGAGCACAGAGAATTCTGCCCTGTCCTCCGCAGCTTCAAACAGACACTCGTTGTGAGAAGGGAATTCTGAGGGCAGAGTGGTTATAAAAGACAAGGAGTGAGGGGCTTTCCTGGACACCATCAGGGATACAGCCCTTTATTATCTGCAGTGAAAGAGGAACAATCCTTGCTCATTGACTGCTTCTTGAGGCTTCCAAGAGAGTTAAGAAGTTGGCCACTCTTACACTCTGTACAGAACTAAATGCCTTTTTTTGTTAGTTTGGACTCACCAGAGAACACCTGGACATCCGGAGAGCAGCTTAAAAAGCATCTGTCGCTCCCACCACGCTTGGTGCAGTGCAGCAGTACCTTGGGTGACACATTRTCAGACAAGGGACCTTTTGTCTCTAAATGAGATAAAACAAACACTCACAGAATTAAAACATCCACCTTCACCCTGATGATAAATCAGCATGCAGCTGCTTTGATAGCCGGCACTTGAGCGCACCCATGCAACTAATATGCTGTTCAGATAGAAAATTAAAGCATAATAAAATCACTGGAAGGTAACACTGCAAAAGTAAYTTCCTTTGTCATGAGCAAAACCTTCTCATGCAGAGGAACAAAAAGAAATAGAAGAATGAGCTAGATAAAAGCACAGGAAAGAAAGCATCAAAATCCCTCAAAGTATCTCCTGTTTTTGAGGTTGGTTTTCCATTTATGTTTTTCAACAACACTATCATCACGTCTTGCTAAAAATTAAAGCAGAATACCAGGAACAAGGACTCACACCACTTAACTGGACAGATCATCAAATATGACTGTAACCATATGGCCCATCAGACACCTCAGGGGTAGAAATGTATTTACTAGACACCTTACCAACACAGTCCTTTTTATTCCAGTGTAACTTGTAGTTGGAGTGACACAGGCATTCGTAGTCTCCCTGTGTGTTCACACACAGCTGCTGGCAGCCACCGTTGTTGATGCTACATTCATTAATATCTACAGAGGAAAGGCAAAAATGCTTTTAAAAAGTTGCTCATCCCGAAGTTCTGCACTCTGACTCCACTAGGTAAACGTGGACATAAATACTGCTTAGTAGGGTATGGAAAAACCTTTGGGAATGCTACCTGGACACCAACCTTGAACTAGTTTGTCTTCATGGAAATCCTTTGATAATTGTCAAAATAGACCAAACATTGGTGGCTCATAATTAAACAATATCCAGCCTCAACAATGTGATAACAAATAACTCYAAGAAAGACAAATCAAGTCAAATCTGCATTGCACTGTGTCTAGTTAATTAATATTTCTAGTTTGAAACAAAGACAGAGAACACGGACAGAATTCATACCAATCAATCCTCCAAAGCACTCCAATAGGTGTAACTAGTGTGGAACACTTTGGCTCTGTGGACAAACACCACCATTGTGTCTCCCTTGTCTCTTTTGGCCAGTTATCCAATTTCGAGGTCTTGTCCCTCCCAAAAAAATTAATAGGAGGAGAAATTTGTAACAATACAACAGACTGCCTCTGGTGCAAGCTTGCATGCTGACAGAGAATACAACATCCCCAGTGCTGTATCCCAGGGGTCAGTACTGGGGCTGACACTCTTTATCCTCCTCATTAAACCTGGATGGAGGGACAAGAGTTCACCCGCAGCAAGTTCACAGATGACACAAAACCGGGAGGAGTGGCTGATACACCAGATGGTTGTGCCACTATTCAGAGGAACCTCGACTGCCGGGAGAAACAGGTCAACGGGAAWCTCATGAATTTCGACAATGGGAAATGCAAAGGTCTCTGTCTTTGCTGCTCAGATCCACACCAAGGAGAGCTTCACTTCCCTCCCATGGCATTATGGCAATTGTGCACAAACCCAGAAAGCTGCCATCAAAAAACCTCTTGGAAGTCCAATAAAGTTTGTGGAACTGAGGGTACCAATTTCCACATACACTTACGCCAATGGCAGGAAGTTCTTGTCACTGCTCTCCCCAAACTAGACACCTTCTAAGTAACAATTTGCTAGAAAACACTGCAAAACCAGTCTGATTTGGGGGRAAATATGCTCTTAACAGAACTGAGACAGCAGGGGTGGGAATGAGCAGCAGAGGAATAATGGAGAAAGAAGGCAACACCTTAAACTGGTACAGCTGCCTAAGATGGCACAAAATCAGCCCAAAGCTTTGGTTTTCAGTGACCTTTTGTTAGGATGCTGCACACAACGGCCACCTGTTATCTCTAGCACTTACTGGTTTCTTCCATAGAGGTCAGAAGGCATTCTCAGTATCCTACCATCTCTGACCAGCCTGTGATTGCCAGTCAATGAGGGACTTACTGTGCTATGAGGATTAACATCTTCTGCCCAGAGGCATGACAAGAAAAGGCTGGTTAGCAGCCAACAGCAAAACTACAGTTCCTTTTCCTCACTGGTAGCGGAAAAAAAATTGAATTAATGCAGAGAAATTAATCAGAAGTCTTCTTTTACTAAGAAGAGCATATGACAGTGTTATTCCTTATCCATGTAAGTTCCACTGCTCATAAGGATAAAACACAGTGGTGTTGTAGCACTGTGATCTTATTTGCAGAGTTTCTGAAGGCAGAGGGTGGAACAGAACAAGCATACAGAGATTTCCGAATTGTTATCTCCAACTGTGCTCATTCTGCCTCAGAAATAAATGGGTCTTACTCAGAATTAAGTAAATTTTCGAGTCAGTAAGGTCATGCCTAGAGCTTATACAAAACAAGTTTGATTCCACTTAGTGTCCCAGTTATTCATGTTTCCTCACGTTAATTCTGGGAATTTGTCACACGTCAAGGTTCTATGAACAACTTTCTCTTTCCTTGAACTGTTCTTGTAGGAAAGACATAAAAAATTTAGGAGTATTAATCTTGGCCAGCATGAAGGGGTACTACATCAGCAAAATTCCAGTCTGCATCACGTGAGGCTCTGACAACTGCATAACAGCAACCTGCAGAACCATAATTTTCAGAGTCATTCAGAGCTTGCTGTTAAAAGTCTTATTGCCCTGACTTTTCACTGAATGACACTTTACCCTGTGCTCCAGGGCCCATGTCCATAACTCACCTCCACAGTGGGTGAAGCCGTACAGGGTATAGCCTTTGTTGCAGGAGCACTCGAAGGTGCCGGGGTGGTTGATGCACGTGTGGTCGCACGCCCGCTCAAAGGAACACTCATCAATGTCTGCAAGGTTTAAAGGGATGGATAAGAACCTGTCAGGCTGGCCAGGGTGAGCCTGGTGAGCCAACAGAGCTCAACAACTGCACAGATGAGTGGATTTATGTGAACGAAGCAAATTCTTTCAAGGCACATAGTGTAACATAATGAAATGACGATTTTTGAAAGAACGCTTTCTTGGCCAAACAAGCTTTTACTTGGCAAGCGCAAAAACTGCTGTCACATTTTTACAGTTGTGTTTAAAACAAATTATTTCTCTTCTATGGGAGAAGAAAACTGCTGACAAAACTTTTATTTCAGTAAGATTACTCTACATAGAAAAGAAGTCGACAAAGGAAAATTTTGCCTGTTTTTTCTCCCTAAATGGAGCTCTATGTGAATATACAGTGCCTGATTTAAGCTGCTGGAAATCAGTGTTCTCTGAGAATGAACATTCATTATACCATCAAAAGTACCTGACATTTCTGTGCTAGCACATTTTGCATGCCAAGTAAGAATGTTGCAAGACACAAAAAAAATTCACATCAACTTCACTAACACTTTACACCAATCTTTTTCCTTGGGCTTTGGCAGGCATCAAGATAGCACTTTTGAAACAGTCTATGGAAAGTAACAGAAGTGACAGGGATGAAACGGAGATGTGAGTCTTCAAAATACACTCATAAATAGATTCATTTAAAACAAAGAGCTCAAACTATCTTGAAAATCAAATGTTTATACAGTAGGTTTGTTCCACATAAAGAGTTGTCCTTCTTTGTTTATCCATAAATTATAAGAATGCACAAAAAAACCCCAGGTGAAAACTATTTTCTGTGGGTCAGTTCAGTTTTCTGAAATGCACCTTTAATGTCAGCTGGTTGCCTAGGAAATGGCATAATTCACCATTTGGCTGACTGACTTGATATTGTTTCATCCTGTAGCTTTTCCACAATCACAGACCATTTTGATCTTCCATTTTTGTGCATTTAAGCACAAATCTGTATGTACAAACTACTATACAGCAAAACAAATAAGCTTTATAAGTCTCACAGGACAAGTCCCTGTCATCCCCAAAATGAAATGCTCCGTGATGTTGTAGAGAACAGACATTCCAGTCTGTCTACAGACCTGTAAGTTCATAGATCATTTTTCCTTCAATAATGAGCTCATGGCAACTAAATATCCTATTAAGAAAAAATAGTTTCACTCAATGGTGATTCAGTCAGTAAGATGGAGAGAGAGACATTGTCTAATTTTTCCTGTAAATTATTTTAAGATCATTAAGGCAGGGGGGAAGCAATAACCTCACAGAAAGCTTTTTAATATGATGCCCTGTCCCTCCCAGATAATAGCTCACTGTGCAATTAAACATATCTCCTACAATAACAGCAAGCCAACTGTATTAGCTCAACAGCTGTTTCAGAAGAAAAAAAATCCAAATTAAGGAATGGAAATTATTCTGGAGTCCATTATCACTTCATCATCTTAGTAGATGTCCAAGCCATGCTGATTTGTCCTACTTTTATTGTACCATTGTCTCTCCAGCACCCATACCTTGACAGGACTTCTCATCTGTTAATAATTTAAATCCTTTCCTGCAGCTGCAATCAAAACTGCCAACAGTGTTTTTACAGAAATGGTCACAGCCTCCATTATTGGACTGGCACTCATCAATATCTGCAACAACAAAAAAAAAAAGGCTTCAGCAAATAAACACAGAGCTTCAGCACTTAACATATTTCCACTGCCAGATACAGAAAACAGTCACGTCCAGTCAGTTAGAGAAGCCCAGAAACAAAATCTAATGAGACTACCACAAATTGTAAGGAAGATCAGATCCAACTCCTAAGAGTGATCCAGCCTGTTCAGCCCCAGGACAGTGTTATTTGCTCTCATTTAATAAATTGCGGTCAGTTCCATTTGGATAATGTATTCATAAAAGACCATTCCCTAAGTGCTGTTTGGAAACACTTTGACTCCAAGGCTCTCTAAGAGGTTTTAGTGTTTTAAACATTCTCACAATTTCCTCTTCATAAGCCCTGCAGAAATCTCAGACAGAAACTTCCTGAGCTACCCCGTCCTTTTCGTGGCAATATTAGAATGGGGCCTTTATCTAATATTAATTGACTCAGGCCTGGGGATTTCATCATTTTTGCTTAGCAGAACAGTCTTAACATCTACTTACTGGGAAAGCAGTGTCATACAACTTCACTGTGACTTTGCTCCGTGCCAGTACTCTCATTAGAGCTGCTTGGACCAGTGTGTATTTATAAAACACATCCCTGTTTACACACTGATATTTACTGACCAATTTCTCCAATGCCCAGCTGACTGTGGGATATAGAGCAGGGTGTTGCACTGGGAACTGGACTGGACATACCTGTTGACCTCTCCCAGTACCGACCTCTGCTTGACCACAGAGCTGCAGCAGCGCTCTGAAACCTCACCTGTGAAAAACGAGGCACAACAGGTGGAAGTGGAGAGAAGGAGGGCAGAGCAGAAGAGATTCTCTGCACGTGATAGACCTGGTGTGGTGGAAACCACAGCCTCTGCCCCAGTCCAGTCCTTCCTTCGGTCAGATTGCGCACGCTGGCTTTCCTCCAGACACTGGGCTGCCTTTGTTTGGAGATGAACACCTTAGAGGATTTGGGAACACCTTATAGGTGTGCCCAGGAGTATAAAACCCACCTTTGCATGTCTTGCCATCAAACTGGAGCGTGAATCCCACGGGACAGCTGCAGTGGACTCCAGTGGACGTGTCCTTACAGGTGCGATCGCAGCCACCGTTGTTCACTGCACACGTTTCTGGCCAACAAGAGGAAGCCCAGATTTGCTCAGGATGTTAAATTGGTACCAACAAACACCATGGGACACCAGGCACAGTCCCAAGCACCCTGTACTCAAACACATTCAGCCTAGGACACACGAGCAACTGCTGTATACATGTGTTGGCAAAATGCCTGCCTCAGCTATTTCCAGGCTTTTTGTGGAGACTCTACAAACCAAAATATCTCTTCTGGGTATTCTGTTTGTATCTTAAACACAAATGCCTGCTCCTTGATGATGAATCTGTTACTGTCAGGCATTTTCTTTATGCCCACACTCAATCCTGGTTGATCCTCTGACACTTCCCTTCAAGACACACCTGGTTACACTCAGCTCTACTAAACTCAGTTTCCTTAAATCCCTTCCAACACACCTTTCCATGCTACCTGTGCTCCCAGACATGGAGGACTACACCCACACTGAGCATTCCTTCAGCCTGGTAACCCCAGGTACCAAAGTTTGTTCCTCTAACTCCCCCCTAGGAAACTATACCTAAATCTCACCAAACCTTTTTAGTGAACACTCCTAAAGCACAGCTCTTCACATCCAGCCAAGCAAAAGTAACTCACTCTTTGACATTTATCCCCTTGTCATCAGTCTAGCCACCTCAGTCAGTCTAATAATTTTTTCACTGTATGGACAAATGCAATTTTGCATAGTACATGTTGATTGAGAGCTGCAAAAAACATTTTTCATGTCTGATTTTTAAAATCTTATTTCTAGCTCTGTATCATTGTTTCCTGCAGCATCAAGCACATGCTATTTATTGTCAAGTTTTGAGAGCTTCATTGGTTTATTCCCTCCCCATCTCTCATCTCACATGCAGTATTGGCAGGCTGTATCCAACCTCCAAGGGAAGAGATAATGCATCTTCTTTCTTCCTCTGTCATTCTTTTTGAAAACAAGGCTATTCACTTAGATGTCTGAACTTTATGGAATAATATTATTTCCTTAAGAGAGAATGGATCATCTGAGGCAGAATTCTGCCCAGAGCTGAGGGTTATCATAAAAAAAAACCATAAAAAACCCACAACAATCGTTCAATCTAAATGGTTTCAACAAGCAGGAGAAATATTTTGGATCAGCACTTTTACCCATAAGCAACCGTCGCTTCACTCTCTTGTCCACATCAGCTGCTGCTGTGGTGTTTCCCTCAGAAATCTCCACAGCAGCCTCTTCCCTCTCTGTAAGGAACATGAAAAAAGCAATTGAGTAAAGGTACCCGGACCAGAACCCTCATCTGACATCCACCACACACACACTCTCCAACAGCTTCATAACACACCAAATCAGAGACAGTCAGAACTGTCCAGGCAAAAATAAATTACTTTTAAAGAGCAAGTAGTAATCAAAATCATGAAGACCCTTCAGTCAAAACCATGAGAATACTTTGCTTTTGTGGCTTCCTTCCAAGGCTCGTTTGCTTCAGCATTCTTAACAAAACAAAAGATGTGCTACAGATGTAGTAAACCGCAACAAGATGAAAGAGCTAATTGAACTGTCATGAAGTGTTCTGGTGGGAGTGCACTGTCACCATCTATCCAGGGCTAATTACAAGGATCAGCCCCTTATGCCTGAGCATTTGATTTCAATCAACAGACAACAAACTCTTCCAGAGACTGGAAGAGCTTATAAATCTTAAGTACTTTGTTCAATGGATAACTGCCCTGCCAAAATCATACATTAATTGATTACAGAGTCCCAGTTTTTACAGATGTACTCCTTGGTTACACTCTCTGATTCATGCTGCAGAAGAAACTGAACGTAAAATATCCTAGAGGGAAGGAAACCTTCTTTGGTTAGTGACAAGTCTTGTGTTTCAGGGGACCAGTGATAATTACAGTTTGCAACAGTATAAGGTAACTACTTATACAGGGACGCATAAGCGGCCTGGACTTAGCCAACTCACCCACGCACTATAGGTTTGTTAATTTTGAATTCCTTGACATTTTCCAGTCATACTATTATGAGGAGCATTAATCATGCACACACAGCACCGCCACACCACCCTAGAGCTGCCCATCGACAGAAAACTACTTCCCTCTGCTGCATACTGACCCAGGCAGGTTTTTCCATCCACGTGCATGACATATTTGGGGTGACATCCACAAACAGGCCCATTGTCAGTGTCCTCACACGTGTGCTGGCAGCCCCCATTCCCGTGGTTACACGTTACTGCCAAGAAAATACATGTCACAGCTCACAAGTGCTTCCAGCATCTTGGAAAGACCGGGTGCAATTCCATTGCCCTATGAGCATCCAAAACACCCTCCTGATGTGTCCCTGTCCTGAAGGACTCTGTGAGACTGAAAAACTGCACAGCTCTCTCATGGATCTGAACTTCCCATCATCATGAATGATGGCACAAATACCAAACTACAGACACGACAGCAATTATACACTGGTGTGACAGTGTCCATAAAGGGCATAAATCCTAGTTTAATTCAAATGCAGGTGTGTCATCTCACATTAGCTCTAATACACCAAAACAAACAGAACACTATCAGTGCACTTTGGGAAACCATAAGCATATGCAGAATGTTGCATACAAATGCAGCTCCTCTGGTTCCTGGACAGCTCAAATCCTGGCCGGCATTCACAGGCAACTCCTCCTTTGGGCGTTTCCCTGCAGATATGGGCACAGCCATGGTCTTTGTTCATGCAGCTCATGCCTTCTGCAAAACAGGAAAAGTACAAGAGCATCAGCACCCTCAGCATCCCTGTGTGCGGGCGACAAAGTCAGCTCAGTACACACACAGACCACAGCCTGCTGCTTTGGGAAGATGCTGCAGGCCTGGGACAAGAAGTTTCAACTGACACAGAGGAGAGGCAGCAAGTCCAGTCCTGCAAAGTCAGTGGCCCCAAGGTTTCTCCTTCTGTGATCTTTTCTGTGCCCGTGTTCCTTGACTGCAAGGTCAAAGACCAACATCCACAGATTTGTACAGCACCTGCATTCTTGTCTCATTTTATCCCAGTGCTCATAACACCTCCTTGTTTCTTTTATAAAAGTTGCAATATGCTGGCAAGATCCAAGTCTAAAGTGAAGCTCTTATTTCTCTGTTTAAAAGAGCAGCCAGCAGACACAGGAATGTTCAGAACAACAGTCACCCCAGTTTCAATTCCCAGCTTACAAAACAGATTCCCATAATCTGAACCGATCTCAGCAGCGACCAAGTAGAAACCAGGCCAACACATATGCTGCATATCAATTCTCTTCATTGTTAACCATTTTGTTTTCATTTTTTTTCTGATTTCAGTAAATACCACCCAAGTTAACCTCACTGGGTATTGTCATAGTGTTCTGTATTTTTTCACACCTGCACAGCTAGACAGAATTTAGTGTCAGTGCCTGCTTCAACCAAATGAAAAACCTGTGTGATAGCAATGACTGTATTTCTTTTGCTACACCTACTAAAACATTCTGCCATTTTTATCTCTGCCAGTAACAAGCTACTCATGTACAGCACTCAGTGACCACCAGAGTGTCTTGTCTGGCTTTGGCAAAAGGATAAAGTCAACTAAAAAGGGAGGAGTGGTTCCTAAAATTACTATAAAAACTTCTTCCACCTTGCCCATGGTTTAGTGCAATCAGTGAGTTTGCCACTGGCGAGGTGGAACAATCTGTACACAAACAGCATAAAAACACACAGCAGCACACAGAGTTACTCAATGGGACCATTAGATCAAATTAACAAATAGGTTTTCTTTTAACAGAATACCACAGATTTTGGATTAAGTCCTCTCTAGTGCTACAAAATCAGGAGAGAGAAGACATCTGTATGCTCTCCTTGGGTGTACAGAAAGCACACCTTTACTATTAAATTGTCTGCCTTGGCATATTTGGCTTTAAAAGGACAAGCCACACCAAAATTCTTTCTTCTCTGTGAGAATATTTCATTTGTGATGACCGAGTTGATCATACTTTGACTGCAGGGGCATATCACACACCACCCCAGTGCACTCCTCTGGAGCTGAGCAGATGCACAGTCAGAAGCAGAACAGAGAGGGAGACCATGCTGTTGAAAAGGGATTCTGTGATCAATTCCACACCCAATATATTTTTAAAACTTACACAACCTTTTTTTACAGCCTTATTACGAAATGAAACAAACCCGCTGCATTGTGAGGCAGAGGTCGTCTCCTCACCATTATTCCACTCCACTTCAATTAGGTCCTTGTTCTACACTGCCATTCTCTCCCCTGAAGCACCAGCTACAGGACCCTTTCTCTATTAAGACAGCTTTAAGCAACAAAAGAATGGACGTTGCAGAGCCCAGACTATTCTGCTCTACTGGCTTTTTGATTCCTTTCCCACAGTGAGGACTTTCCAGAAGTCCAACAAGACAATGAGACTTGAAACCTTGCAGCACACAGACACAGCCCAAGGAGCCCACAGGAAAGCTGTCACCCATTATTGTGTCAGTCGAGGGAAGAGACAACCTACCAGGCCACAAATTAGCCTTGTTAGCATTGGTGGTTTTGTGAAAATTCTGTTTTTAAGCATGCAATATGATTTGGTCTGTGAGCTCAGAGGGGTTAGAGAGCTTTAAGAGAATTAGCAGCTTAGTTTCTGTTAACAAAGTTATTCTTTTGTCTCTATTGAGTGACTGAAGGGGAAGTTGTTCGAGCAGGTATTTTGGTAAAGTTCATTGACACCAAACAAATGGTTTATATGCTCCATTTGGGATTGCTCCCTTCTGAATGGGCAGAATTCAATCAGCTCTCCACAGAAAGCTAAAACTGACCTTTCCACGCCAGGATGCATTCTAATAAAATGTCCACTGTGTAACAAGGTACTCCACCAAACCCACCAAAATCTAGCTGTCCCAAAAGGCAGTTTCATAGGAGACACCCACATCCACACATTCCAGCATTTACAGTGAGGCTGCTGCTTGTTTCCAACAGTCATAGATCTTTCTCAGCCCTGTTTCATAACTTGTACTAAAGAGGTATCTGTAAAGCTACCAATGCTGTGTTTCTGCAAACTCCTTGGTGGACACGAAGTCTCCCAGGTCACATTGCTCCTGTGCTGCTGCAACGGCCGGCTGTGGTCTAGAAACAAACCCCAAACAAATTCTGGTCAAATCCCACCACATTCTTCCCAGACACGCAATTTGTCTTTCAGGAGACGCAAAAGTGACTTGGGATGGATGACTCTGGATTCACACTCAGTGAATCCAGAGCCTGCCTGGCTGAGCAGATCCCAAACCAGATGAATCCTTTCTGATAACTGCGCCTTCTTGAAGTTACCCAGCAAACCTGAGATCTCAGCGCTCCTATCTCTGCCAAAATGCAGGCAAAAAAAACAGCATGGTATTTCCCTCTCAGGTCACGCTAATTTAACCTCTTACATGTATGATCTGTAGAGGTTTTTTGGTTTTTTTTTTTTGTTGGTTGTTTTGGGTTTTGGGTCTGTTTTTTTTTGCACAGAAGGTGTCAGCACAACATTCCCAGTCCACTAACAGCATTCAGGCTCCACGTTCAAGCAGGCACTCCATAGGACAGGAGAGAGAGGATGCAATAGTACAGAGATGCCAGAGGTTCTCTGAGGCACTCTCTGATAGATAAATGGTGAGAACATCGGCACAGCTGGTAGAACAGCACATCCCAGGAATGCTTTAGTCTTTCATCATGCTTTCCACATCCTTTCCCAAAAAGCTCTCCAGCTATCACTGTTCTCCACAGTCAAGGCTCCAAGAGTGACAGCTGAGGTGGTGCCCTGTGTACAGGTCCACACAGCAATTTGAAACACAGCTTTCCTCTTCCAGATCCTGTTCATTACCATCAATTCAGCCCTACAAGCAGAGAGCTATGACTGTGAAATACCACAAGGGAGAGCAACAAGATTTGCCATCCAGAGCAGAAGCAGCCACAAAGAAGCTCTACATATTTACTCAAAAAAAAACCCTGTTTTACTTCAAATTTTTGTATTCTCTAACACAGAGGAAATTGAACACAGTAGCTGCCCTGCCAGCTACTTTAAGAACCTCCCAAAGTAATTCATTCCCCCACACAGATGAAGGGCAGCTCATTCCAGCAGGAAAACAAGGGAAAAAATAAGATTGTGCAGAACTTCCCAGGACACTTTCAGTCCCTGAGGTTTAAACTCCAGTTCACTCTACTTCTGTGTATTTAAAGGCCAATATTGCAAACCACAAGGGAAGTCTCTCAGGCATTAATGTGTGAAGAATCTTAACTGGGCTGGGAGATAGAGAGGGAAATACTCCCCCTTTTCACAGATAAGAAACGAAACTGAATGGAAGGTCTAGGAAAAAGGTGCCAAAAGCTGCTTTGATCAGTGCTGTGAGGTCTCAAAACAGAACCAATAAAACACTGCATATACAAGGCAGAGAGCAGAAGTCCCAGCAGTGAGGAGAAAAGCAGAGAGCAAAGTGAGGGGAAAGATAAAGCAGTGAGATTTGGCTTACAACAGACATGCCTACCCAAGGAAAAAGAAAAAGGTTTTAAAAAAGGTGGGGAATCCTGAGGAGCACTTTACAGTAATGAAGGGGGGGGGGGGGGAAGGAAACAGTCACAGCATGAAAACCTGAAAAAATGGCTTTTAAAGAAAGCAAAACAAACAATTCAGTGTTTTACGACACAGAAAAAAAAGTATCAGGCAAAACAATGTATTGGGGTTTTTTTCTTAAGACTGGTTTTGATAAAGATGTATTTTGTTTTATATTTTTAATGGAAAAAAAAATTCGTCTTTTTCCACTTTGTTTTCCTTTTCAAAGAAAAAACCCTAAAATTTAGTGGATTTTTTTTTTTGTATTATGAAAAATGTGCTTTTTTGGAAAAAAAGGAAATTAAATGCATCTTTAAGAAGAGAGGTAGAATTCCAAAGGTACAGTTTAGGGAGCAAATATTAATGACAGGGAATGCTGCAGCTGTCAGTTCAAGAGAGGAGAAGTACTGAAGTAGCACCATGGATGAATAAAGAGTGAGAAGCTTTTCCTCCCTTGGTATCAGACGACACGAGGGGTTCAAGCAACCAATTTCTGCTCTCAGACCCCTCCTCCATGGGTGCACACAAGCTCCCATCCCTGCCAGCCAGGCAGCCTGAGGGGCAGTGCCTTGTCCCATCACTGCTGCCTTCCTGCCTGTCCCCACTAGTGGCTCAGCCCCTGCAGTGGCAACCAGAGCAGTGACCTGAGTAATCACCCAAGCCCCGTGAGACTAAAACCAGCACCAGAGGAGCTGAGAATACAAATTCATAATTCAAACAAAAGATAAATTCAGCTCTGTCAGATGGCAGCCACCACTGCACCCTCATCTGTGGATGGCCATATATGTCTGTAAACGTTGATCTCTTCACTATGGGGATTTTTAAAGTGAGATTTGTTTATTCATGCTCAGATTCCTCTTACAGTTATGCCAACAATAAGCCATAGATTAAAGAAAGCTTTGCAGCTTTAAATACTTCTTACTGAGATCTTCAATGTACAGTTCAATGGACAACTCCCTGATCTGAGCAACCACTTTAAAGTATTCCCTGAGGGCTTCCAAAATAATTTTGTTCAATCTGATGCCCAATTAGATATCCAAGACTGATCTCTCAAAGGTTGCTTCACAAAGGTTTCACTCAAAACAAAGCACGAGATTTGAATACCTTTGGGGCTGACAAAAAATAAATCTCTGAGCTGAAACTTAAACATTGTGCAGGGAATCTAAAAGGAACCTGAAGGGAATGCAGGTATTGCCCTGTAACTAAAGCCAGTGAACGTGGTCAGAACTTGCTGTCCTTGCYATTCCTTGGACTAGGACAGAGCTGAGCTGCACAGAGCATCAAGGACACGGGAGTCCAGCAGCACAGCCTCTAACAAGCACAACAGTGCAGACACAACACACAGGTCGCATCAAAGAGGAGGAAGGGATGCAGCCTCTTCAAAGCCACTTAAAAGATTCTGACACATTGCTCCTTTTAAAAGCAGTGAGGACTTTAAGACCCTTCCCAGCTTTGAAAACCTCAACCTAAAAATACTTTTGAAGAGGGTTTCGAGTTTTTGCCTCTGTCAGAAGCTGTTGCTCGTTGCCTGGGGGCAGAGGTGGTACCTTCGGAGCGGTGGATGCAGGTATGCTGGTTGTCACTGAGGAAGAACCCTTCCTTGCAGCGGCACTCGTAGCTCCCCACGGTGTTGACACAAACGTGCTGGCAGCCGCCGTTGTTGAACATGCACTCGTCTGTGTCTGAAAGGGAGAGGGAAAGGGAGAGATCAGCTTTGTGCTCACACCAATCCACGGCACAGACAGCAGCTCGGGCTGGAGCCACCCAGGCGGCTGAGACACCCCAGGCGAACCTGTGGCTGCTCTTGTGCTGTCACCCTCAGGAAAGCCCATTTCTGCTGCAGCTCTTCCCCTGTTTGCAGTCTGCCTAAGCAGTCACAGGGCTCCCAAGGAATGCTGGCCAGTCCAGCTACCCAGAGCTGCTGGCTGCAGCTAGGGAGGAGCAGCCTTGGCAGAGCCAGGTCAGGACCCCACCACCCATGGGAACATTCCGTGCACTCAGTGCAGCTGGATCTGCCACCCCCATCCCCCACATGGGCAACCACRCATGGCTCAGTCTGGCTCAATGGGGCAGCAACACACCCTGGCTCCAAACCCATCCAGGCTCTAAAAGGTTTTTCCCAGGAAGCTCCCCATTCTAAAGAAAAGGTGGAACAAGAAAAATACAAACCTCAAAATAAATTCAGCTAAAAACCTATCCCCTGCTCCTTGCTTTCACCCTAGCTAGAAGTCACACACCACATCTGTTCTGGAGCTTGATTTATCATCCTCCTCCCTCAAGTCTAGGACATCACTCATCATCAGTGCTGCTGCTATGTTGCCTGACTGCAGTCAAGGGCAAGAGCAGAAGTTCTGGAAGCAGTTTTGATCTTGATTTTGCAATATTCAGAGCCTCAACAACACCATGGAACACAGAAGGGTTCTGCTAAGCCTCTGAACAACAGGATGCTCATCCCAATCTCCAATTCTTTGGAATTTTATCCCTTAACAAGCACTACCACCAAACACTTTTTCTAGCCTAATTTTCAGAAAATTTTACAGGAAGTAAAAAATGCTTAGTCCCTTGAAACAAGACAAAACATTGCTGAGGCAAAGCACTGGTCTCATTTGCAAATTCATCTGCAACATCGTGTTTGCTCCCTGTTCTGTTCATTGTTCCTGGCCAATAGTACATTGTTTTTAATTTAACATTGTAGCATTTCTGGCAGAAAACAGCTGTCATCTTAAAAAAGGAGAAAGAGAGGCTTTTAGTAAGAAGCATAACATAGTATTACAACAGATTTAATGTCTACTGAAGGCAGTGAGTAAGCCAATTGGATGCAAAAGAATGTGGCCTGATGGAGAAAAAGAGGGGCTGACATATCTCCATCACAAAGAAGCCGAGTATTTTAGAGTTCTACAGTGATGTGAATGTGCAAACAATCATGAATAAACAGCCACCACGAGCATTTAGTGCTACAGATTTGAACTCCAGCAGATGTTTCTGTCTTACAGACCTTGGAAAGCTTTCAAAAAAACATCTCTTTCCAACACGTAATTGTCTATTTGGCTTAAACCCAGGCACACAGCCGAGATCTTCAAAAAGAAGGGTGAGAGGAGGGCAACCCTGGCGTGAACAAAGTAAATAAACAGATTAAGAGAAGATGTGATCCAATTTGCTGCATGCCAAAATATTTATTTAACATTTACATCACAACTCAAAATTGGCACATCAGTGATGAAAATTTCATTATATATCAATAACATTTCATTTTATAGGTCTGCCATGTAACACTGAGCAGCTTCCTGGTGACACAGCAGGTGATAGATTTTGGTCTAAGTTATGTCTAGGTCTCGCTGGTCACAAAAAAAACTCATCTGAACAATGCCCTGGGTACAAAGAGAATATGCACGTGCCTTTTGGTGTCATTGTCACAGGCAATGTGTTCCCTCACATCCAGCCCTTCCTGGTAACCTCAACTGAACTCCACTCTGTGTTTACACAAATGCAAAATGAAGACGGACTTTCTGTTGTTTCAATTATCTGCTGATCACTTGTTTCCCTCTTTACTTTATTTGGTTAGACATCTAGTTCACCCTCTCCTCCACTTACTCTGTGATAAGGTGGGCACACAACAGGTAAAGCCCCACACAATCCCACTGAATACTCCAGAGCCTTTCTGATTTGCCCCAGCAGAAGATACAGCCTGGGACTGTCTGATCCCCCACCTGATGTGCCACACACTAGTGGGAAACAGCCCAGCCAAACCAACTTCAATCATGCAGAGAGAGCAATGTTCCCTCTGGTGGGTATGGAGGTGTATCCAGGCACATCCTGGAGTGCAGCAGTAGAGAGAAACTGAGCAATCCTTAAAAAAGCAAATGGGACAGGCAGCACAGAGTTGAGCCACACAGGGTGCCCAGCTGGGGTCCAGCAAGCAGGACAGCTTCAGTAGCACGAGGCCCTGAGGCAGCACACCACACTGCCCCACAGGCTGACAGCTCACACCTTTCTGTATACTGCTGCACCCTGTGATGAAAAATCCTATCACAGCAAAGCCACAGAGTCTTGTTAGCCATTTTTAAATATTTTCACCTGGTGGCACACAAAAAGGAGACTATGGACATCTTAAATAAAGAAAAGGGATGGTCAGAGAGATTGTGCATGCAGGGCCAAGGGAGTGTTGCCCTGAAAACCCTTCCAGAGGTGTGTCCTTTGTCTCACACTAAACACCAAGGAAAATCCCAAGCATTGGGCTTAGTCCCTCTGTTCTTCAGTGGCCTCCATCATATACAGCTGCTGCACACTCCAAATCATCCCCTCCTCTCAGGAACACTCAGACACAGAGTGAGAAGCCCCCACATCACAGATATATTTGAGAGAGAAATCCCTAAGCCTGGAAACATACCTGACAACTGACCCTAAACTAACTGTGGAACAGAAAGGATGATGATAGCACGTGTTCTTTTATATAAACTCATTTAGAGTGATAACAGAAGATGTGTGGCATACTTAAACTCAAAGAACCGCATGGAAATGTTAGCACAGTGATCAGAGGGAGAAAGTGCCACACTGGAATCAATACCTGGAAATCACTAGTCCCACATGCAACATTCCCCTCTCTCTGAACTGGCTGAGCCCAAAAGCTTGCCAGGTGTTGCCCATGGGTACAGCCACAGGGTTGTGCTCACATCACCAGCACTGCTCATGAACATGCTCCTTACCCAGGCAGTTGTGGCCATCATGAGCCAACATAAAGCCATCGTAGCAAGTGCAGCGGTAATTTCCTGGAATGTTGAAACACTCGTGGACACAGCCCCCATTGAAGTCATTGTCACATTCATCAATGTCTGAGGAATAAAGCAGAGGTCAATATGATGGATGCTTGCCTGAGTGTTACAGACAGAGACGCAACTGCACAAAGGTTAGCAGCAACTGTTGTCCAAAATCATCATTGTCTTGCAAATACACTATATTTAATGCAATTCTTGCTGAMTGTTTCTGATGACTGAGAAAGCACCCTGAGACTCCCACCTTGCAGCTTCAGCTTATGTTTTTAAGGCTGTTGGTTAAACAACAAACTCATTATCAGGCTGAGTGGAATGAATAGGTGAAAATCCATGCAAGGTTTGCCCTTGATTTTGTAAACAATAAGTAAATCAAGTGACAAAATTGATTTAAAAATAATTTTCCATCATTTTTAGTGCCTCTATTTTCTTAGAAATGCCACATGCTGACACAAATAGAACACAGTGCTCTGGTCCCTTTACCTTCACATTTCTTGCCTTCACCAGTGTAACCCACTTTGCACATGCACTTGTACAGCTTCGGGGTGTTCTGACAAATAGCATCTGGGTGGCAGTCATCCAGCCCCAGGGCACATTCATCCACATCTGTGAAAAGACAGCAGGCTCAGGAGGGATGTCAGCAGGAGGAGAACAGGGCATGTCTCCTGAATATGTCCCTGAGAAGGTGACACAGCTGAGCACCTCTCTGCGGTGCCCATGAGAACATTGTGTGTATTTGTGTGTCAGGACAGAAACACACAGAGACAGCATCTGCACTTAAATCTGTATCATGTTCTACCTGCATACAGATGTATTTGTGTGCAATTCAGACAAGCCCATAATGAGCTTTTGTGCCCCTTTATAAATGCACCCAAAACAATCTCCTAAGGGCTGATGCTCCATGACATTCAGCCCATACTTTTATAGAGAGTCATCAGAGATTGTTAATCTTTCTGTTTAACAGAAAACAGTTATTGAAAGAGTTTTTGATCACATCCATGCATCACCTGCAGGAAGCCAAGTGATTTTTAAACTAACAAGGGGAGCATATCCATGCATCACCTTCAGGAAGCCAAGTGATTTTTAAACTAACAAGGGGTGTTGATAGAAATGTACTTTCAAAGTCACCGCCAACCCTTTAGAAGACTAACTTACCATTAAACAGACATAATCTTAAAATGATTTTTTTAAGTATAAGAATAGTATCTGGTGAGGAGCATTGCCAAATCACCTGGCCAGCCATCTTAAAGCACAGCATACTGATGCAAAATATCCAGGTAGAAACTTCAGAGAAGAGGAAATGAAGAAAAAGGGAAACACCAACAGGAAGAAGTCCTGGAGACAAGGAAGTATAGACAGAAGAAGAGGAAGAAAAGTTACAGGCAGCAGAATATATCAGCAGTAATATGTCATACAGCAGAAGAAAACTGAAACACACGAACAGGAAGATTTCCAGCAACTGGCTAAAAGGGAGAATTGTAGAAGCAACACCCCACACAGGTACAAAAAGCACTTCCTAATACAAGAGGTAGTGCATGAGTATGAGCGCAAAGTGATTGCTGCAATAGTGAGCCACTTTTTATGGTGGGGATCATTTATTTTCTAAAGGGGAATTTCAGCCAACACTCCTCCCATTTACAATTATAGCATTCATCCTGCTCTTTTTTTTTTTTTCTTTCCCCCAATCACAAAATATGCCTGTAGGTACTGCAGCAGCTGCCAACTGCAGAAAGTGTTCACTTGGTTTTAACTCCTAATGGGGTTTGGCAGTGGGAAACAAGACAAAGAGCCAGTGCTAGAGCAGCAATGCTTTCCTGGCTCTCAGGTGCACACAGCTCCGGTAACAGCAATGGGGACCCCAGATACTGGCACCGGAACACGAGGAGAAGGCGGGAAACAGCGGAAAACAGCTGGGAAGAGCAGTAGAATCTGCTCCCTCTCACAGCAGAAAAGTCAAGCCACTAAAATATGGGAGGCAGTGAATTGAGGGGAGCAAGTCACACAAGGAAGAGTGCGTGGAATAAATAGGGACCTCCAGCTAGTGGGGCTCAGGTAGGTGGGGAAGAAAGAAAGGACGGGCAGGGAAGAACCGATAGCGGGCATAAAGCAGCCTGAGCCATACAGGCTGTGCGCCCTCGGCACGGGCAGCTGTCACCTTCCCTGCCCGAGCCAGGGGGACACACCTGCCCCGCCAAGAGGGGTCCCAGAAAATACACAGCAAGGAGGGGGCTTTCCTCTCAGCCAGGACACAGTGACATCTACCAGCGGCAGGACGGCCGCTCTGCGCGTTTATTTTACACCCATCCTCCGCGATCTGCAGCGTGCGGTAAAAAACCTCGAGGAGCCGCAGCACTAATGCATGCAAAGGCATGGAAAAGAGCGCTAGGAAAAATCCGTAGCCACAGGGAGAGAGATGTCCCCTTGCAGTGACAGTATCCTAAGCCGAAGAGAGACCCTGGAGGAACAAGACCGCGAGCAAACATCGCAGCCTTCAACTTGGCAGGAGGAGGCAGCGGGAAAATCCCTGGGCTTGCTCCGCAGGGACCGAAGGCAGCTTCATCCTCAACACACGCCGTTCACACCCCGCTCCCCAGGTGCCCCGTCCCGGAGCTCACCCCGCTCCCAGGACAGCGGGAACCGCAAAGCCCGAGCGCCCCGCCAGCAGCGACCGCCCCGCGCCGGGCACGGCCCCGCCACGGCCGCCCCTCACGCCAGCACCGGCCCCGCGCCCCTTCCCTTCGCCACCGGCCAGGAGGGGACAGCCGGCACCGGCCCCGGTACCCCGCGGGGGGAGCCGCTGTCCGGGGCTGAGCCCAGCCGGGGGCACTCACCGGGCAGGGGAAGGGGCACGGACCGGGGGCTCTCACCGGGCAGGGGAAGGGGCACGGACCAGGGGCTCTCACCGGGCAGGGGAAGGGGCACGGACCGGGGGCACTCACCGGGCAGGGGCAGCGCGGCGGGGCCGGCCGGCGCGG